CCTGGCAGGTGTGTGACGCGCTTAACGAAATGTAAACAGACTGGGGGAGAGTTTAAGCGTGTCGGTGGAGGAGTGTGACAAAGAGCTACAAGGAAGATGACGCAGGTTTCCACACTACGTCGATCGCAGAGCGATTCTTTTCAACTCCCTGCGGCGGATTACGACGACCCCGTTTCATAATATTTCAGAATATCCTTTGTGCCCTGAATTTGGCTGCAGACTTGATCCTTTCCAGACTCCTTCCCCGATTGGCTTTTTTTTTTTAAAAAAAAAAACATTTAAAGGATTATCTTAATTTTAAACAAAATTAAGAGGAGCAGATGGCATCCTTCCGGCTTTGTTTACATTGGCCAGATCGCTTGGGAGGCGTAGAAATGGCCTGGAGGAATTCTTAAACGTAGAAGTTTGGGGTGTCCATACATGAGGCCTTGGCTGGGGATGTGGGTCAAAATATCTGGGGGGCAAGGATCAAAAATGCAGGTATCCGTGAATTACCGCCACACTCCAGAGTCCAAAATTTCTTGCGGCTAAACTAGACAGTGAGTTTGGCCTCATTTTGCAAACTTTCATGCCGCGGCTTTTCAGTGAATTGTTCTCCTCCTCCACTCTATAAACCCCACTCCCTCATAGCACTGATGGTGTTACCTAGTTGGGTTATGAAATGTCTACAAGAAAACAACCAAACTTTGAGAGCACCAAGGAAGCCACAACCTCCTCCTCCTCCTCCCCAAACCCCTCTCCCTTCTAGCCCTGATGATGTTACCTAGTTGGGTAATGAAAGGTCTGTAAGAAAACTACCAAACAAGAACCCACAGTCCTCCTCCTCCTCTCCATAAACCTCACACCCTTCTAGCCCTGATGATGTTACCTAGTTGGGTCACGAAACGTCTATAAAAAAACCAGCCATACTCGAGAGCACCAAGGACCCGCACAGTTCAACCCTGAGCTAGAAATATTCTCTTCCATAGGAAATTCTCACCGTGAGAATTTAAAATATTTTCCTTCTCCTTTTCAACGCACCCATCTCCTTATTTCGTTGCAAGGATGAGATTTCAACCGTCCGCCTCGCTCTTACTTTATTTTTAAAAAAAATCATTTGAATGGCGCTGGGATATTTTAGGGCTCCTGAGAATCCAATCTGAATTCTCCGGATATTAGGAACTCACGGTTCCCGGCGTCGATGCATTCTGACTAATTGTGGCCAAGCCACATCCATCACTTCACTCCTGGCAGGAGAGAATCTGGCCAGACGATAATCCAGAGTTTGCTGATTCATAATACCTCATTTACACTGCAGAATCTAGGCGCGTTCCCTCTGAATGCGGTAAGGAGGTTGTGTGAATAGACCCGCACGGGAAAATTATAGTCACATAAAGTTGGTTCTGAATTTATTATCTCGGACATCAGGACGGTGTTTTCTCAACCTTGGCGGCCCTAAGACGGGTGGATTTCAACAGGGCAATAGAATCAAGATCACGTGAAGTATTAGTGCCCCTTAAGTAAGACCACATTTGGAATCCTGCATCCAGTTTTGGTCACCATATTATTAAAAAAAAAAAGATGTTAAGATTCTAGAAAGAGTGCAGGGAAGAGCAACAAAGAGGATTAAGGCTAAAACAGAGGAAGAACGGTTGCAGGAATTGGGTATGTCTAGTCTAATGAAAAGAATAGAGTAGATTAGAGTAGAATAGTATAGTATAGAATAGAATAAGAATCTAATCAAATAGAATTAGGATTAGAATAGAATATAATTAGAATAGAATAATATAATTAGAATAGAATAATATAATTAGAATAGAATAATATAATTAGAATAGAATAATATAATTAGAATA